GCGCTCACCGCTGAGCGCTTCTCTAATACCCACGTATTAGAGCTTTCCCGCTTGTTTTCGATTGAACCGAAATAGCTATCCCCGATATCCGATCATATCTTCAGAGAAACTGCAAAATCAAGCTACTCACTATGCAACGTTGCAGATTTACTGTCGTAAATTGATTTACCGAAAGATGATCAACCAACCGTGACACTTGGTCTAGTTGTTTAGTGTTTTTGTCGTTTTGAAAGCGGAAAAACTTTCTCACCGAAATGTTCCACCTACGGAGGATTCTAAACGAGAATCTAAAACTATTTTCTTACATATTATGGGACCCCCTCTCACCCGAATTCTCTAAAGCAGGGCAGAAAATTGACCATTTTCTAACGATTTCTTGCCGATAACTCGAAAACCGTTGATATTCAGGGTAGCTATGTGGTATTTATATCATATCGACGGTGAAACTACCAAACCACGTATCTCGTTTGCGGTGTTTAAAAATCTACGCTCACATTTTATTTTTTTGAAGTAGACCAAATCAATATCATTCCTTGAAATTTTCACAGAATTTTCTCCGCACAACGAGGAAAAATCACAGAAATTTTCAAGACTGGATGTTAAGTAGTTTTTCATTTAAAAAATAAAGTATGACAGGAAGTCTGCGACGTCGCAAACCGAGATACGTGGTTTGGTAGTTTCACCGTCGCGTACTTTCTCCGATGATAAATAGGCCCAATGCAGGGTTTTCAAAGAAACAAAATTCTCAAAATTTCGATTTTTGCTTGTAACTTTTTTCAAGAAATTTTAGAAGATAAGTTTACCTGTCTAAAATAAATTATACCCAAAATGCTACAGTTTTAAGTATTAGCCAGACCGGAAGTCTGCAATGCTGCAAAGGGAGATACGTGGTTTAGGACTTCTGCCAGGAATATACAGAATTACATTCTGAAAGTTTAATGAAAGTCTCCTAAAAAGATTAGCCGAAAGGGTCGTCCACGGCACCCGGACCGTAGGCAATCGTGACCGGTCACGAGTAGCGCGATGGAAGCTAATTAAAGAGAGAGACGAACATTTACTTTATTGAAATTTTGAAGAATTCATCCGCGGCACTCGGACCGCAGGCAATCGTGTCCGGACACGAGTAACGCGAATGAATTTTTAGACCGATTAGAAATGTTTATTGGCAGAAGGCGCCGGAATTTGACATGAAATTATTATTAATGAAAATGATAGAGAAAAGAAGGTGAGTTTAGAATATACACTCACTTGGTTGAATGAAAAGACGTAACTGTTTAAGAAGGAAGGTTACAGCGCACGAAAGAACATGTGCGGGGCGAATGTACATGCCCAAAGACGCTACCATAGAGCAAGGTACACTCTACTACAGGTATGGACAAATGGAATTTTAGAAAGTCGTCAAAACGCGTAGATTTGACATCATCGAGAGTACGACTGCGAATGGCATGTGCGGCAAATGGACGGTACGACTTCATACGTCACTCGATCGCCGATTTTCTCAGCGCTGCCACTTCGGCACCCCGATTGTCCATACCTGTAGTAGAGTGTACCTTGACCATAGAGTGGTAGGTGAAACATAATTTAGATACGGCACACGGGCCAACCGGTCAAACTGGATTTGAGAAAGAATTACGCGGACGCGTGGTTTAAGTTGAGAAAGGTTGTGAAGGAAGGCACGAGTGAGTGTTATAATTGAGGATTTATGGAGAGAAGTAATCGAAGATGAATTTTACATATTGAAACAGACAAAATAATAAAGAAAAGAATTTAAATATCTTATGGCAAGCCGGAGGGGCGAATAAAAAGCCCGCAGCGCGATCGGGCGGGCCGCGGCGGAACTAGGCGCGCGGCGCGACAATGTGGTACGGCGGTTTGCCTACCTGACGGAATGAAGGCTAAATATTGGTGACGCTAGCGGCGCCAACATACCGGCCCCCATTGAAATACTGGGGTGTTTCAATAAGAAAAAAAAATGTAAAAAGTTGAAAAATTCCAAAAGAAATATAGAGAAACAAATATTTTTGAAGAAAAAAATTACACTTGAAAGTTATGAGTGCTGATATTTCCAACTGCTTACTCCATCGGGAGAGGACAAAGCTTGGACACTGGCCGTGTGAAAGTTGAATTTTCTGTCTTAACCTCTGCGACGCGGACAAGGTTGTCTTTGCCTGGACAGACCTTGCTTACTCGCGCCAAAGGCCACTGGAGGGGTGGCGCATTAGGCTCGATCAACAATACTAGATCTCCAACTTTCAGATATGGCTGTTTCTTTGCCCATTTTTCACGTTGTTGTAGCTTTGTTAAGTACTCAAGGTACCATCTCTTCCGCACTCTTTGAGAGAAGGCTTGCACCGTTTCCCAGCGTTTCAGGCGATTGTTGCTGATGTCTAAGAGAGGGCGCTCAGGAAGGGCTGTGAGTGTAGTTCCAATTAAGAAGTGACCGGGAGTCAGAACGTCAATTTCGGAAGGATCTTGGCTCAGTGGAGTGAGGGGCCGAGAGTTCAGCATGGCTTCAATTTTTGACATTAACGTGTCAAATTCTTCCCTCGTGAGCAAGTGCGTTCCAACTACTCGCTTTAGATGTGTCTTGACGCTCTTGATGGCACCTTCCCATAGGCCTCCTTGTTCTGGAGCTGCAGGGGGATTGTTATGGAATTTGATTGAATTAGCGATGGAGAAGCGGTTGATGATTTCGAGGTTTTGAGGAGCATTAAAAAATTCTCTGGTGATTTTCTGCAATTCGTTTGACGCTCCTAGAAAATTGGAGCCGCAGTCACTCCAGAGGTCTGAAGGCTTCCCTCTGCGGCATATAAACCGTGTGAGCGCAGCAATGAAGGAGTTAGTGGTGAGATCCGATGTGGTTTCAATGTGTACTGCTTTGGTAGAGAAGCAGACAAATACACATATGTACGTTTTCACCACTTTTGAATTTCTTAATGTCGACGTGCGGGTTTGGATGGGTCCACCGAAGTCCATGCCTGTGCATAAAAAAGCACGATTTGCGGTGACTCTGTTGACTGGCAAATTGCCCATCAACTGATTGACTGGCTTTGCCTTGAGTTTGAAACAAGTTATGCACTTAAGCAGGCAAGACCTGATGATAGACCTCGCAGACAAAATCCAAAATTCCTGATTCAGAATTGGCATTAATAGAGAAGGACCGGCATGCAGATGCGTCTCATGATAATGATTGATAATGCAAATCGTAACTGAATGATTCTTGGGCATTAAAATGGGATGGCGAGCCTTAAAATCGATAGAGGCTTTTTGAAGTCGGCCACCCACTCGCATGAGTCCTTGAGTGTCGAGGAATGGACAAAGTCTTTGTATTAATCACTACATTCCTTGCCTTTGCGGAGGTTCTTGAGGTCCTCAGCGAAGGCTTCCTTTCGCACCAGTGTGCAAATTTTATTTTGAGCTGCTGCTATCTCTTCAAGCGATAAGGGTCCATGCAGATTTGACAGAGAGCAATCGATTTTTCTTGCTCTAATGTTGTTCACAAAACGTAGTATGTAGGCCATTACGCGTTTCAGAGAAGGCCACCAGGAGAAGCGTTGAAAGAAATCCCAGGTTGTGGGTTACTCATTGAGATGAAGACTTGTCGCTGATTCAGGTTTCATAGCACCTTTGATGAATTCATCTTCCCGTT